CATGCCAATGCGGCGCTCAGCAATCCCATTTTGCTGTGGAGAGGCCGGAAGCGTGAACGTCTGGCGGATGCCCTGTGCACGACAGAAGGCTCCCAGAAGGGCAGAGGAAAACTCCCCGCCTCTGTCAGATTGCAGACGCAGAACAGGAAAGTCCGAGCCAAAACTCTCTCTGAGCTGGAGACGAGCCGCGCGGATCCAGTCGATAAACACCTCAGTGACGTCACCCTTGCTGCGCAAGGGGAACACCGTGGTGTAACGCGAGTAGTCGTCAACCACCAACAGGAAGTAACGCTCGTGACCCTGGCCACGGACGCGGGCGGGGCCCCACACGTCCATGTGAAGAGTCTGCAGCGGAGCCTCTGTCGGAGGAAACTCGGAGGAGTGAGGGGCGGCGCGCTGCCGCCCCTCGACGCAGGGAACGCAGGTAGGGGCAGGCCCCGGAGGGAGGGGAGGGAGGGACCGGGGGAGACCAGAGACAAGGTAACGGGAGGCCATGCCTCGGAGACGAGGCAGGGAGGGGTGACCAAGGCGGTGGTGCCAGAGGAGAGTCCGGTGGGACAGGAGACGACACGAGCAGGGAGCAGACTCAGGACCAGACCTGGACGCTGCAGCAAACACCTGACCCGACGCAGCTACCTGACCAGACTCAGCAACCGAAGGAGACTCAGTAGTCAGTGTGTACAGGCTCGACCCCGGCTGACGGGTAAACGTGGCCAAGTGTCGGCCCGTCCGAGCACACGTACAGTGGGTCACCCGCTGACTCGCATGAGTGAACTGGTCAACCCCCCCATCCTGTTGATCAGCACCACTCACCAAGTTCGTAGAGAACGAAGGGAGGTAGAGACCTGACAGGGTGCCAGAGGGGGCCGCCGGACACGGACCCCCAGAGGGGTCCGCCAGGGAGACCGCAACTGGCCGACTAAGCGGCGTAAGCGTGGTGCGGTCTCGAAAGAAGGAGCGGGAAGCACCCGAGTCAAGGGTGAAGGTGTGTAAGGCCTGAGCCGACGTGGTACCTGAGAGAGCAGACGCACCAGTACCTGGGGCAGCAGACTCACCAGCACCTAGAGCAGCAGCCTCAATGCTCGGGTCAGGCGGAACACACAGGTAACAGTCACCCTCATCAATAGTAGACACAACATACATGGCAGCAAGAATGGCATCATAATCCAGATAAAAGATAGCAACCCCCGACCTAAGCAGCTCGCCCCAGCGGGGGATCTCAGTGGCGTCAGGGAACTGGAGACGCCAAGCGTCCGTTAGGCGGCCGAAGCAGCGCTGGGTGGTGTGCGGGCCACCGCACGGCTCACCAGTGCGGTCGCCGGTACGCAGGACGTAGGCACAAGGACCAGCACCCCCACCCCGCTGACGCGCAGCGTACCACTCACGAAGCTGTTGGGGGTCGGGGTCTCACGAGTGCGCTGCTGCTGCTGGCGCTGACCACCACCGAAGCCGCTCCGCTGCGCAGAGCCACCCCGACCAGCTCCACCTCCGCCGCCGCCACCTCCGCCACCGCCGCCACCGCCTCCTCCTCCGCTCCCACTGCCACCGCCGCCGCCGCCTCCGCCTCCACCGCCGCCACCGAAGCCCCCACCCCCGCCACCACTCCCACCGCCACCCCCACTCCCTCCGCCGCCTCCACCGCCACCTCCACCGCCCCCGCCAGCCCCTCCAGCGCCCTTGCCCCCCTTGCCCTTGCCGGTGCGGCGTCTCCCTCTAGGGGCAGACGCAGCGCCGACCGACTCGGTACCAACGAAGTCGACGGCAGCAGCAGAGGCAACAGAGGGCAAAAGGGGGGAGGGGGAGCACCCCTCAAAGTAGGGGGCACGAGGGTCACCACGAGAGGCTCCTACAGCGACTATACTCTTCTCTGCTGCCAGGAGGCGCTCCTCGAGGAGGTCAACGATGAGTGTGGTGGGGCAAACAGAGAGGAAGTGGTCCCTGACCGAGCAAAGGGAGTCAGGGAGCCGGGTGACTATGTAGTAGAGGGTGATGTACATGGGGGGGGGGGTTCTTGGCGCAGAACTCAGCAGGAAGCGCAGCGCAGTAGCGGGTGTCACTAGTGCGAAGGTGCGTAATGAGGTCAGCGACTGTGGGAAAGGCGGCGAGGTCAGGGAACAGGTACGGCAGCATGAGGCGGCTAAGGGCAGCAGTGGCAGGGGAAGAGTAGCGTGCAACTACAGCGTCGTACAAGGTCTTAGCACTCTTGTACTGACTAAAGTGCGCGCGCTCAGTGGACGGCAAGTGACTACGCACAGCAAGACGGGCAGCAGCATCGCGTGTGGCCCACTGTGAGCGAACAGTGCTGTCAGCATCGGCAGCAGGGGCAGCAGAGGCGCCAGACGTGAGATCGAACAGTGAGAGACCGTCTTTCCTATCGCAGTGTAGGAAAAGCTGTAGATCATCGACCCAGACCTCAAAGTCAACAGCCCGACCCTCAGCATCAAAGACGAGAACGCTAGGGGTAGCCATGACAGCAGTGGCAGCAGGCTAGGGGCAGCAGCAGCAGTAGCAACAGCAGGGGCGGGCTCGGCGGTGCTCTTACCAGGGCAGGTGGGTAGAGGTCCGAAAGTGGTGGGGCAGGGCCGAGGCGCGCCGGCAGGGACGGGGCCGCTACAGGGCGGCAGAGGACTGCCGCTCCTCTCTGCAGGGCAGGGCCGGGACGGCGGCGGCGGCCCCTGCTGTCGGCGGCGGAGGCGGCTGCAGTCGGCGGCTGCGGCGGTTGCGGCCCCGGCAGTGGCGGCAGCGGCTGCTGCTGTCGGCGGCTGCGGCCCCGGCTGTGGCGGCGGCGGCTGCTGCTGTCGGCGGCTGCGGCGGCTGCGGCCCCGGCTGTGGCTGCGGCGGCTGCTGCTGTCGGCGGCTGCGGCGGCTGCGGCCCCGGCAGTGGCGGCGACGGCTGCTGCTGTCGGCGGCACCGGCGGTGGCGGCTCCCGCTGCAGGGGCGGTGACGGCTGCTGCTGCAGGGGCGGCAGGTCCGTGAGGGAGCCGAGAAGGGGCCGCGGAGGAGCCGAGAAGGGGCCGCTAAGGGCGGTGAAGGGGCCGCGAAGGGGCCGTGAGGGGCCGCGAAGGGTGGCGACGGGGCCGAGAAGGGGCCGTGAGGGGCCGCGAAGGGCGGCGACGGGGCCGAGACGGGGCCGCGAGGGGCCGCGAAGGGAGGCGACGGGGCCGTGAAGGGGCCGCGAGGGGCCGCGAAGGGAGGCGACGGGGCCGTGAAGGGCGGCGACACGGCCGCGAAGAGCGGCGACGGGGCCGTGAAGGGGCCGCGAGGGGCCGCGAAGGGGCCGCGAGGGGCGGTAAGGGGCCGCGAAGGGCCGTGAGAGGGGCCGCAAAGGGCGGCGGAGGGGCCGCGAGGGAGCCGCGAAGGGGCCGCGAAGGGCCGTGAGAGGGGCCGTAAGGGGGGCGCGACGGGCCGCTAAGGGCAGGGGACGCGACGAGAGGGCAGGCACACGGGGCGCGACTCGGGCAGGAGCGAAGCGCGCTCCAGGCAGGAAAAAAAAAATCGATCGTGGTGGGCCCTAGGAACCGTTCCCACTAGGGAACCTGCTCTATACCATGTGAAAGAACGAGGAAGTGAATGCACTGGGAAACAGATGGGTACAAGTGGGAAAACCTAAAAGTGTTGTACCCCATATTGTCTACCCCACTACAGCCTACACAGACTATAGCATATAAGTTTGACATCTACGCCACCAAGGGCCTCTACACCCCCAGTACGAGTCCCCTGAAACCCTCCGCCACCGTGGTTGCCCCACCGGACAGCCCACTCACGAAGCTGCTGTGGGGGAGAGAGTCTCTGGTGGACGCTGCTGCTGCTGCTGTCCACCCCCAGAACCTCGGCGTCTACCAGCGGCACTACCAGCAGTAGTAGACTCACATGTACCTCCAGTAGTAGCACCCCAGGCTCCGCCAGTGGGGCTGCCCCACCGGACAGCCCTCTTGCGAAGCTGCTGCGACGAGAGCGTCTCCTGCCGACGAGTACGAGGACCGCCAGCACCAGCACCTCCAGCTCTAGCACGGCTAGCTCCGCCACTGGGGCTGCCCCAGCAGATAGCCCACTCGCGAAGCTGCTGCCGCGAGAAAGACTCTTGCACACTCGGCTGCCGTTGACGTAGAACAGTAGTGGCCATGGCAGTCAGCGGCAGCCAGTAGCAGCAGCGCAGGAGCAGCTAGGGAAGTGCGCGAGTAACTGGGTGCTCTAGTGTGGGTCGCTTGTGGGGCAGGGCTGGGGTGCGCTGACATCGTTGGCAGGGCAGGGTGCAGGCATTAGATGCGGGACAGGGCAGGTGCACGCTGGTAGCGCGTGTAGGTAGGGCAGTCGCGCGCGGGCAGTGCACGGCGCAGGGCAGCGTGCGGGTGGCAGCTGCAGCAGCGGCACGGGCGTGCTAGCAGGGCAGGCGCAGGCAGCGCTTGCAGGGCAGGGCAGGGGCGCGCGGGCGCTGGGCAGCGGGGCGCGCGCGGGCAAGGGGCAGCGGGGGACACGCGGGCGCTGGGCAGCGGGGCGCGCTAGCGTGCTGGGCAGAAGGGCGCGCTGGCGCACTGGGCAGCAGGGCTCGCTGGCGCGCAGGGCAGCTGGGCGCGCAGGGCGCGCGGGGCAGCAGGGCGTGCGGGGGTGCGCGGGGCAATGCGCACGCCAGCGGGCAGGGCAGCAAAACGGGCAGGACGGAACTAACGGTGGGCCCTAACGGTAGGACAGAACCTACTATGAAACCATTTCAGAATACGAAGTAGGAATGGTGAGATTAGACAGCATGAGAACAAGTAGGGAAACCCTAAAAGGGTTGTACTCTATGTAAGCTACCCCACTACAGCCTACAGAGATGGAAACACAGTTTGACACAGGGAATATTAAATTCTTACTGGAGCAAAAGTGGGTTCTAAAAACAGGCCAAGAAAAGAGGGGGGACTTACTCACCCCCTCTGTGTACCCATGGGCAGTGGTTCCACTATACAGGCGCTGACGGTACCCCACACGGGTGTGCAACACAGTGCAGCTGAGAGAAGAGTCAACGGGCAGCAGAGCGAGCCACCTGTCTGAGCAGCAGAGGCACGAGCTGGATGTGTGCTGCCTCTCCCACCTGGCAGTACACCTGAAGGCCTATCGTCAAGTCTGCGTGCTCCCCTCCCCCTTGCACCTCCGCTGTTCTCACAGCGTCTGCCTCCCCGCCTCCCCCTCTCCCACCCATCACACCCTCTGCCATGCTACTGCCCTCGTCACGCCCTCGCCTCTCACTCCTGCTATCATCCAGAGTGCCAGTGGGCTTTCTCTGGGTGGGGTGGTGTGGCAGTGTGTGCCACCAATCACTCACACTGCCACACAGCCGACCACCCCTGCCACAAAAGCATGTCAGCGACCATTCTCCCTCGCCCTCCTCAGCAATACCTCCCTCCTCCACCTCTCCCTTCCCCCCTCCCCTTTCCAGTTCCTCCCCTCCCCCTTCCTCCCCTCTCTCCACGCTCACTTCCAGCCCACACAGCGGGAGGCATGCGGCCATGCCGAGCCCTGATTGGTCAACGGCGAGGAGGTGGGTGGCAGTGAGGAGGAGCAGTGGGCGACGGAGCAGCAGAGGCGGGATGTCCGTGCTGGTGGTGGTGATGACTGCCGTGCTGGCGTCCACATGCGTGAGGTAGCTGGGGGGGACACAGGCGGAGGAGACACGGGCAGAGGAAAGGCGGGCAGAGAACGCAGAATGAGAGATGGGCAGTGAAAGCGCTGGCCAGCGCTGCAGAATGAGAGACGCCAGGGGTGGTGGGGGACAGTGAACGTGTGCATGTGGTAACACGGACATGTAGCGAGTGTGCAGCTGTGATGGTGACAACATGCAGACAGCTGTTTCACGATCATGGCATGGCATGGCATGGCCCCATGCCACCAGCAGCACCACGAGTTTAGGCAGCTGGAAGGGGAACTTACAATGCTTGGGGGCAGCTGGAAGGGGAACTCACAATGCTTGGGGGCAGCTGGAAGGGGAACTCACAATGCTTGGGGGCAGCTGGAAGGGGAACTCACAATGCTTGGGGGCAGCTGGAAGGGGAACTCACAATGCTTGGGGGCAGCTGGAAGGGGAACTCACAATGCTTGGGGGCAGCTGGAAGGGGAACTCACAATGCTTGGGGGCAGCCGGAAGAGGAACTCACAATGCTTGGGGGCAGCTGGAAGGGGAACTCACAATGCTTGGGGGCAGCTGGAAGGGGAACTCACAATGCTTGGGGGCGCGGTGGCCACAGAGGAGGCATGAAGCGGCTGGCAGCACAGCGCACGCCCCTCTGCTGCACCTGCCACACCAGCGACACCTGCCACCCGTCATCCTCTCTGCCTGGACCCTCCCTATGAGAAGCACTGCCATCCCTGCTGCCCCCAGTGCAGGTGGCAGGCACGCCACCATGGGCCCCCCTGCCCTCAGTAGCAAGTGGCGCTGCTCTCCCCTCTGCCTCTGCGCCATGTGCCCCTGTTGCACCGCCAACAGAACGAGGCCCCGTGGACCCCGTCCCCGTCGCATGCTGCGCTGCAGCCTGCCCGTTCTGCCGCCTCTCCTCCCCGCCATCACTCTTGCTGTGGCCCCACCTGCCTGTGCCTTCATATGTGCTTTCTGGCTGGTGCTCCCGCTCATGCAGCGAGTGGCGATGGGAGTGGCGGTAGTGGTGGGGAAGGCGAGGCCTGTGCGCGAGTGAGAGTGTCAGTCGCACGCGGTGGTGCCCCACAGACAGCCCCATACCGCCATGCACCCCCCCACCGCCTCTTCCTCCGCCACTGCTGCCCATAGCAGCAGCAGCACCACCGCCAACTGTCACACGCTGGTTACCACGACCACCAGCCGCACTTCTTCTGTTCCCATGTGCACCACCACTGCCGCTTCTATGCCCCCCCTCCCCTACCAAGCCTCTGCTTCCACCTCCCCGTTCTCCAAGATAAGCCTGCCTGACGAGCCGGCCGACACTGGAGGAGAAGCCGGAGAGCGACGCCACGGTCCACTGCGACACGTGGCGCCACGCTGCCAGCCCGCCGCGCCCCACGCCCAGCAGCAGCCCGTGCGGCCCTGCGTGCAGCGAGCCCTGCACGGGCAGCAGCAGCAGGTCGCGGCAGGCGGCGCGCACGCTGTGCAGCAGGCCCAGCGGGTTGAGCAGCAGGTGGTGCGAGGCGATGACGCGCGGCACACACAGCAGCCCCTCCGTTATGTAGTGCGCCAGCACCACACGCGCGAGGGCAGCGCGTGGGGACAGGAGAGGTGGGAGGTGGAGCGGTGAGAGTGAGAGTGGTGTGGCGGTGGTGTCGAGAGGGAGAGGGGAGGAGATGCGGAGAGTGAGGGAGAGAGTGAGGGGGGAAATGCGGAAGCGGCCGAGGTAGAGAGAGGGAGTGGTGGCAAGGGCGATGTCAGGGAGGCGGGGGGGCGGGGTGGAGAGGAGGCGGTGCAGGGCGAGCAGGCGGATGAGAGCCGCGTCTGATGAGGGCAGCGCGGAGGGCACGACAGGGTGCGTGGCCGTGGAACCTTGTGTGCTGGCTTGCAATCCTGATCGGCTTTCACTATCTGATCCCTGCATATGCGTCGTCCATGCGGCACCGTCTGATTGGCTGCTGCCCTGCATGAAGGCGATGGCGATGGGTGCGTAGTGGGTGAGGGCGAAGAGCAGGCAGTCATCAGCGCATGCATCCACGTGACCCACGCTCACATGCACCGCCTCCACACCCGTCACGTAGCACACCCGCTCCATTCCCTGGTTGCTCTGCACCCTCTCATCGCCCATACTCCACCCGCCTGTCAAACGCTGCGACGGGTGTTGTGACATCACGATTTCCACCTGCACTGCTGCCTGCCCTTCCTCCCCCCTCTCATTTCTATGCCCTGCTGCTGCCTTGTGCTCCTCTCCTTCGCCTTCCACTTGTCTACCCCCTCCTCCCTCCTTGTTCCCTGTACGTCCCGCCTCACCCTTCCCACCAGCAGCTGAGCCAGTGGTGGGAGAGGAAGGGCGGATGTTGAGGAGGAGAGGGAGGAGGGCGCCAGGCAACAGGTTGTGCACCTGCACCGACCCCACACCGCACTGCACCGCATACACCATGCCCACCGCTGCTGGCGCTGGTGGTAAGGGATGTGTGTGCATGCCACGTGGCATGCTGTGACTTGGTGCTCCGCTGTGAGCCCCAATACCGAGCAGCGTGAGGGAGCGAGGCGGGAGGAGGGAGAGCGAGGCGTGCAGGGAGGAGAGGGACACGAGGCAGATGGCTGACGCATCACGGAACAGACTGTCACTCGCATTACTGTCACTCTCATTATTGTCACTCTCATCATTGTCTCTCGGACTGGCATCGTTTGTCTTGTTCCCAGGCAGGTGGGGCGAGGAGGGAGGGCAGCGCAGGTCGTCCCAGAGGACGAGGTGGAGTGAAGGCAGGGCGAGGGAGAGTGTGTGCGAGCGCAGGAGGAGGTAGGTGGTGGGGTGGGGCGTGGGGGGGGTGAGAGGGGTGGACGGGGAGGCGGGGGAATTGGGGGATGCAAGGGAAGGTGGGGAGGAGGGCGAGTGGAATGGGCGAGATGGGGAATATGTTCGTGAAGTGGGGTGTGCAGCTTGCAAGTGGCTGGGAGCAAATGCACCCTGCTGCAGCTGCTGCGGTGAGTCATGCCGCATGTCCTTGGCGCCACTGAGCTCTCGCTGCAGACCCACATGCAGAGCAGCAGGGGGCAGAGGAACCATGGCAGGGGGCATGGGGCGGCCAGGCAGGGACAGAGCGAAGGGGCTGGAAGGGCGAGAGGCGGCATGGGCGATGCGGCACACAGCGGTGGCGCCCTCCCTCCACACACACACGTGCAGCAGCAGCCAGTTCCCCCCGCCCTCCACCACCCCGCTGCTGCCGCCACACGGCACGTGCAGCAGCAGCTCCCCCTCGCCCTCGCCCTCCCTTTCCCCCCGCCCTCGCCCCACTGAGATGGGCTCGCTCCACTCCTGCGCCCCCTCTGCCCGCACACAGATGCCCCCTGTTGCTGCTCGCCCGCCTGTGCTCTTTTGTGTTATGCGCCCATCGCCTGAGATGCGCTGAATGTGCGCCATGAGGGCATCGTCCGTCTCCTCGTCCAGGTTCAATGCACCGGGTATCAGTGGACGCGTATGAGCATGTGTGTGCTTGCGGTGGTGCTGTGAGCGGCCATGCCACTTGCGCTTCTTGATGGCCATTCCCCCCACCACCCCCGCCTGCATCCACTCACTCCCCTCACGCCCTCCCTCGCTGCCCCCACTGCCACTCGCATCATTGCGCCTTGCATCCGCAGCACCGCCACTGTCGGCAGCGGCACTAGCAGCAGAGGCAGCAGAGGAAGAGGGGGTGGGGAGAGGCAGGGCGGCAGCATGGAAGGCAAGTGACCGCCCCGCCCCCACTCGCGCTACAAAGGCGTCTGCCTCATCGGCCGCCCCCCTCACGTCCACACACACACCTGTCTCGTTCTCAATGCGCCACGGCGGCTGTGCATCCACGTGCACCACTAGGTGCGGCTGCCACGTGGCGCCCTCTGATTGGCCGGCGGAGGGCAGGAGGGAGGCGGTGAGGAGGGCGGCATGGCAGGTGCCAGAGGGGTCGGGGAGGAGCAGGCGCTGCGAGACTGCGAAGCGGGAGAGAGGCACGGGCGGCGACCAGAGCAGCGGGCATGAATGGGAGGGGCGAGCAGGCAGAGAAGATTCGTCATGTAGGTGCTGGTTGTGCTGGTAGCGCTGCTCACTGCCACACACTGCTGCTGCTGCTGCTGCTGCTGCTCCCCCTTGCTCTCTTGCCTCAGCAGCACATGCACGTGCCGCCATGCCCAGGCGCACTCCTCCCAGCGCTGCCAGCCGCCTATCCCACCCGTCCTCCCCGCCACCTCCTCTTACCCCTTCGCCTCCTGCCTTCCCCCTCCTCCTACTCTGCTTCTGCTTCTGCCGCTGCTTCGATGCAACACCACCACCACCAATGTCACCATCGCTTCCCTCTCCGTCCCTCTCACTGTCACTCTCACTGCTGCCACTGCTGCTGCTGCTGCTGGAGGCAGAGGAGTCAGGCAGAGAGGGCGAAGAGGAGAGGAGGGGTCGCCAGGGGAAGAGCGTGAGGGGCAGGCAAGTAGCACTGGGGGGACACAGACCAGCGGAGGCAGGCAGGGCGGGAGGGGTGTGGTGCAGCGAGGATGGGCGCAGGGGATGGGGAGGGGCAGGGGGGGGATCATCTAGGAGGAAGTGGAGGGGGAAGGGCGTGAGGTTGGAGAGCAGGGCGGCGGGCAGCACAGAGAGGTGCGTGGTGTGTGAGGGGAGAGGGCAGACAGGCTGAGAGGGAGACGTGGGGGTGGGAGCAGAAGGCGGATGGGATGATGGGAGGGGGACGTGGGAGACGGAGAGCAGGCAGTGCAGGTGCGAGGGGCCGTGAGAGCTGAGCGTCACGATGGACACCCGCTCACTGCTGCCCCCACCCCCTGACCTCCCCCCCTCTGCGTCCCCCTCCCCCCGCACCAGCACGGTAGACGACCACGCCCATCCTCGTGGTTCCCCCTCCCCCCCACCTCCGCCCCCCATCCCCCCACCGCTACCCATGGATGCCTCCAACCCTCCAGGCACCCCAAGCCGCACTGACCACCCCCGAGCCTGCCTCCTAGGGTTGGCACCCGGGCCAGATGCAGTAGTGGGGGTGGAACGAGAGGAGGCGGCAGCAGAGGAACCAGGGGAGAATGCAGTTGGCGTAGAGGAGAGGGAGGGGGAGAGGAGGGCGTGGGAGAGAGAGGGCCAGGCGAAGGGGCGGGAGTGGGAGGGCGGGATGACGAGGTCGGGGCAGGGGGCGTCGTGCAGGGCGAGGGCGAGGGGGAAGGGCAGGTGGTTGTGCAGCACTGCCACGGGGTGCACTGAGAGCAGCAGCGCTGGCACGGGCGGTGGCAGGGGCGCATCGCCTGGCAGGGCAGCGGCGGCAGCAGCGTGAGCACATGGGTGGTGAGAGGGGCGATAGTGTGATGCTGCCAGCACACAGAGGAGACTCTGCTTTGACAGAGGGGCAGGGGACCGCGCACGGGAAAGAGAGAAGAGACGGAATGAGAGAAACACAAAACGGCTTACTGATCCCAGCGGAAGACGCGTGTGTGATGGTGCTAACGATGCTGTGCGGTGCGGTGCAATGCAGTGCAGTGCGGTGAGAAGCAGCAACTGGTGGATGCTCACCTCGCTATCCGCCTGTGGAAGCCACATGGCATGCCGCTTCCCTACAGCTGGAATCGGCGAATCCCACCGCGACACATCAGCATTGCCTGCAGACCAGTCAGTTATGTCACCCCGGCAGCTGGCAGAGACAGTGGCTGCTTGCTGGTCGGGGGCAGCAAGGGAGAGCGCAAGGGGCGCGCTCCACAGGGAGGCTTCAGCACAGGGATGTGCGTGTGGGTGGAGCGAGGCAGCAGCAGTCCAGCTGCCACTGGTGCCATGGCTGGTTGGCGTGTGTGCTGCAGCAGTGGTGGGGGGAGTGCAGGGCAGTGCAACCTCCAAAGCACACTCTCCCCACATGCCACCGCCCACAGCCACCTCCTCTGCCGTCCCCACTGCCACCTCCGCCACCCCTCTGTCCCGCTCCTGCTGCTGCTCCTGCTGCTGCTCCTCTTGACAGTTCCCTTCCTTCAACCTCTCGTGTCCGTCCTCGCTACATTTCGTGGTGGACGCGCCCTGCAGGGGCAGAAGGCGTGCGCGCAGGGGCAGCGGCAGGGCGTTGCAGAGGAGGGTGGCAGGCCAGAGCTCCACACACAGGGGACCGTGCCAGCGGCGCAAGGGGTCAGGCGCACTGCTGGGGGGCGCGGTGGGGAGTGAGGAGGAGGAAGGGGGAGCTGGGAGGGGGAGGATGGAGGAGGGCAGCATGAGGCGCACCCACACACTCTCTCGCCCGTGTGGCGGCGGGGGGAAGGGCGGGCCTGAGACGGGAACACAGGCATCAGTGGTGAGCAGGAAGGTGAGCGAGCAACCATCACTGCCATCCACCACTGCTACCGCTCTTTCACAATCTGCTGCCGCCATATCTCCCCCGCCTTTCCTGCCCGTTGTCCCCCCCAGCCCCTTCCCTGGGTGGCTCGCAGAGGGCAGGCCAAGGCAGCCGGGCGCAACAGCAAGGGGGGCGGACCAGCGCGCCTCCCTTGCCAGCCACACACGCACCACCACAGCTGCCCTGCCAGCGCCCGTGCCCCTCCGAGGCAACGACTCCTCCCTCTCCTCTGCTGCCTCCGTCTCCCCTCCCTTGGCTCCCCTCACCTCCACGCCCTCTGACTCCTTGCCCCCATTCACCGGCTCATCCCCTCCCATGCCCCCCCTGCCACCGCGCCTCCTCTCTGCCACCAACACGTGCCTCACATGCCCCCTGCCACCCTTTCTACGCCCCTCCAACTGCAATCTGCATGCTTCGCCCTCCCCTCTGCTGCTGCTGCCCCCCACTGGCAGCACGGGGCCCTGCATCTCCACTGTCAATCCCTGGCCCGTCTGATTCAATATAAGCACATTCGGTGTGAAGAGCACGTGCGCCAAGCAGCCACGATTGGGAGTGATGGTGACTAAAATGGAGGCAGTGAGGCGGCGGTCTGGGAGCACAGGAACAGCGAGCAGGAACGAGTGCCGCCCCCCTGTGTCCACCTCAAATGGCGCCGACCAATCACCATGTGCCATGTCATCCTTTTCAGCTGCTCCACATGCATGCTGCGCACTCCATCTATCGCCTCCAATGCTCACCCCCTCCCACCCTTTTCCTTCTTTCCCTCCCCCCACACACTTTTCATCACTCCTCTCTGCCCCTTGTGCCCCATCTCCCCGCCCCTCAATTCCATCTCCCCGCCCCTTTCCCTCCCATTGGCTGACGCGCGCACGCAGCTGGCACACGGCGCCCGGCACAAGCGAGGGTGGGCGGCACCAGCTGTAGCCTAGTGAGCAGCCGGGCGGCAGGGGGATGGCCTCTTGTGTGGCGTGCTGGCCCAGGTGGAGCAACACGGGGCATCTGTTCTCCACAGTGTACCCGAACAGAGGGGGGGATGGGGATGTGAGGAGCGGGGGAGAGGACGGCGCCTGTGATGGCATTCCTCTTGGGCTTTCCTCCGCCGCCCCTTCACCCGCCTCTGCTGCACCACCCTCATCCACCTCACTCGTCCCCAAAGCCAACCCCTTCTCCTCACTCTCTTGCACTCTCCCATCTCCCTTCATCTCCTCCTGCTCAACCTCACCCCTTTTCTCTCTCCTCTTCTCTGCTTCCCCCAACCCCCTCTCACCTCCGCCCACCTCGCCCTGCCCGGTGCCTGTCTGGCTCCCTTGCCCCGTCCATGCGAGCAGCAGGCGCTGCAGCGCTCTCAGGGACGCCGCCCTCACATGCACCGTCGCCCCATGCTCCTCGCCCCCCTCGCCCCCACCCCCACTACTACCCCCCTTGCTGCCACTGCTGCCCCCGTTGCTGCCACTGCCGCCTGTGTTGGAGCCCCTGCCACCGCGTCCAGCCTGGCCTCGCCCACCCGCCCTTGAGCTGTCCCATGCATGCCCCCCCGCCTGCACGGCCACCGCCATGCCCAGCGAGCACGGTGGCGCGTGCACGTCCAAGGGGTCGCGCGGCCCACACGGGGCACGGGGCGAGGAGGGCGGGGAGGGGGAGGAGTGGGAAGAGTGGGAGGAGTGGGCGTGAGGGGGAGAGGAGGGCTGGCGAAGGGGTGAGGCGGGGTGGGGAGGGGAGAAGAGGGAGGAGCGGGGGGGGTGGCGGTGGTGGCGGGAGAGCAGAGCGGGCGACCAGAAGGGCTTCCACAGCACGTTGAGTGCGGCGCGCAGGGGGAGCGGCTCCAGCACTGGCAGCTGGTGGGAGGGCGATGGGAGGGGCACGGGTGAAGAAACGAACAGTGAGTACGACGAGAGGTAGGGGGGTACGAACGGCGTGGGAGAAAGTGATGTGTTGAGAGTTGATTTCAATTGCACCCATGCATGTGCCAACCTGGCTGTATGCCCCTCGTGCACCCCTCCCCACCAACCTGAGAGAGGTCGCTGGCATCAACGGCATCGGCGCACACGGTGGCAGCAGCGTGCAGCGCCCACATGCGCGTGCTCCACAGGTGCACGCACACGCGCACGCCCTCCCCGCCCACCACCACCGCCTCCCTCATCTGCCCCTCGCCCGCATCCACATCCTCCACCACGCGCACCACCACCAGCCGCCCGCCGAACCCAATACGCAGGAATGGCACGAGGGGCGGTGAGGGCAGGCGTGGGCGTGTGTGCGGGCCGGCGCTGGTGGGGTTGATGAGCAGACGGGCGAGCAGCAGTGAGGCGGGCAGCACGTGCGTGTCCAGGGGGGCGTTTAGCATGGGACCCGCGGGCAGGGCGGGGAAGGCGCGCGGCATGCCCTGCGTGGCAGGGGCGTGGGCTGAGGCGGCAGCAGCAGTGGCGGCGGCAGTGATGGTGGCAGCAGCGGGCGAGCCGTACACGGTGGAGAGCAGAGAGATTGCTCCGGTGAGGGAGGCAGAGGGGGCACACAAAGGCACAGAGGAGGCGGCATCAGCTGCGGGTCGGGTGGGTGCATGCATGGCAGCGTGAGCGGGGTGGTGACCTGCGGGTGCGGAGGGGTGCATGACGTCAGCGGGGTTGAGCGGCACGAACCACGAGAGCAGCCACAGCTCCGCCTCGCCCTGGCCCTCCCCCTCCTCCTGCTCCGGCTCCAGCATGATGGGGCGGCACGGGGGGCACGCGGGGCAGGTGGCGTGGGCAGCATGCAGAGCGCAGGGCGAGGGGGAGGGCGGGCAGAGCACGGGGGGCAGGGCGTCGTGGAAGGTGCGGTGGGCGGGGTGGAAGCGGGTGAGGCGCAGCGCCATGGGGGGCAGCCGCCAGGCGAGGGGACCGGCAAGGAGAGGTGCCGTGATGACCAGTTGGTGCACTGCACGCGGGTAGGGGTAGCTGGAGGGAGGGGAGGGAGGGGGGGGTAACAGAAGTGGGGAGGATTGGGATTATAAGCTCATGAATGGCTGGGCAAGAAAAGCAAGTGAGGAGGGCGAGGGCGAGCGAGTACTTCAAGAACACATCCGTTGAACGGTACAGCGATGTGATGCTAGGGGAAGAAAATTCATTAGAATAACTTGCGAGCCGTGAGGAGCCAGTTTGTGACAGACAGGGTCCTAGTTCTTGCTCATGCCTGCCCCCATGAACCGCCATGCCACGCACATGCCATGCCACGCACATGCCATGCCACGCACATGCCATGCCACGCACATGCCATGCCACGCACATGCCATGCCACGCACATGCCATGCCACGCACATGCCATGCCACGCACATGCCATGCCACGCACATGCCATGCCACGCACATGCCATGCCACGCACATGCCATGCCACGCACATGCCATGCCACGCACATGCCATGCCACGCACATGCCATGCCACGCACATGCCATGCCACGCACATGCCATGCCACGCACATGCCATGCCACGCACATGCCATGCCACGCACATGCCATGCCACGCACATGCCATGCCACGCACATGCCATGCCACGCACATGCCATGCCACGCACATGCCATGCCACGCACATGCCATGCCACGCACATGCCATGCCACGCACATGCCATGCCACGCACATGCCATGCCACGCACATGCCATGCCACGCACATGCCATGCCACGCACATGCCATGCCACGCACATGCCATGCCACGCACATGCCATGCCACGCACATGCCATGCCACGCACATGCCATGCCACGCACATGCCATGCCACGCACATGCCATGCCACGCACATGCCATGCCACGCACATGCCATGCCACGCACATGCCATGCCACGCACATGCCATGCCACGCACATGCCATGCCACGCACATGCCATGCCACGCACATGCCATGCCACGCACATGCCATGCCACGCACATGCCATGCCACGCACATGCCATGCCACGCACATGCCATGCCACGCACATGCCATGCCACGCACATGCCATGCCACGCACATGCCATGCCACGCACATGCCATGCACGCACATGCCACGCACATGCCATGCCACGCACATGCCATGCCACGCACATGCCATGCCACGCACATGCCATGCCACGCACATGCCATGCCACGCACATGCCATGCCACGCACATGCCATGCCACGCACATGCCATGCCACGCACATGCCATGCCACGCACATGCCATGCCACGCACATGCCATGCCACGCACATGCCATGCCACGCACATGCCATGCCACGCACATGCCATGCCACGCACATGCCATGCCACGCACATGCCATGCCATGCCACGCACATGCCATGCCACGCACATGCCATGCCACGCACATGCCATGCCACGCACATGCCATGCCACGCACATGCCATGCCACGCACATGCCATGCCACGCACATGCCATGCCACGCACATGCCATGCCACGCACATGCCATGCCACGCACATGCCATGCCACGCACATGCCATGCCACGCACATGCCATGCCACGCACATGCCATGCCACGCACATGCCATGCCACGCACATGCCATGCCACGCACATGCCATGCCACGCACATGCCATGCCACGCACATGCCATGCCACGCACATGCCATGCCACGCACATGCCATGCCACGCAGATGCCATGCCCTGAACATACCGCCATGCGATCCAGCCTCCCCCAAAGCAGCTGTTGCTTAGCGGCCTGTCTCTGCTGGCCACGCCCTCCCCCCACGCCACCTGCCCCGCCCCCACCTCCTCCCACCCCGCCACCCCCCCTTGCACCCTCCCCTCCCCCCTGCTGCACTCAAACGCCCCACTGCGCAGGTCGTCACTCGGCGCACCCTGCACCTCGATGCTCGCCTGCACCTCATGCGCCACCCGCACGGACCTCGCTGCCGCCCACGCATCCCGCAGGGACCTGGCGAGGCGGATCAGCGGCAGCAGCACCTTGGGGCAGAGGCGGGGCGAGGCGAAGTCGGTGTGTATGGTGAGGCGCAGGGGGAAGGGGGTGCCCAGGGCTGTGATGTGCAGTGCGGTGGAGTGGGCGTGTGAGAGCAGCGTGGGGCTGGAGAGTAGGTCCGTGCTGCGCAGGCGCATGGCCGTGTGGGCCGACTGGAGCTCGATGGCGGGGATGAGGAAGGGCGGCGGGGGGCGGTGCGAAGGGGGGTGTGAGGAGGAGTGGGTGGTGGGTGGTGTGGGGGGGAGGATGATGCGGCCCGGGCAAGAGGCATCGTGGGTGCCTGCGAACCGGCGGATGTCATGCAGTGAGGGCACGAGGGAGAGAGTGAGCGTGCAGCTCTCCAACTCCACTGACACGCCTGCTCCCCCTGCCACACCCTCCCTCTCCTTCTGCTCCCCCTGCTGCTCGCCCGGCTGCTGCTCGCCCTGCTGCTGCTGCGCGCCCCCCTGCCACGGTGGGTGGGGTTCGAGGTCATCGTGAGCGACCAAGTGGGAGGAGATGGAGAGGCGCGGCAGGCGGGACAGCGCTGAGGGGGACGACACACAGGCGGGCGGTGGGGAGGATGGGCACGGCTTGTGAGCGCGGGGAGTGTCAGTGTCAGGGGTGGGTGACCCTTCACAGCCTTGGGATGCTTGGAAGGCTTCCAAGGCTGAGAGCAGCGAGATGAGAGCGCCTCCACTCGCCACCTTCACGCCCCACAGCCGGGACACTGGTAGAGACCCTTTGGGTGGTGCGGCACTGCCCTCTCCCTTCCTAGGGGCTGCCTGCTTCTGTGGTGTGCGTGAGCCGTGTTCGTTGGGCATGCATGCCGGATGGTGGGTGGCAGAGCAGGCAGCAGCGTCTCTCCCTGTGTGCTGCGCAGACGATTGCTGTGGTGGTGGCGGGGGGGCGCGCAGGCGCGGGAGGACGTCGTACAGCGTGGCGATGACCTGCGGGCGGTGGCAGGTGTGGTGGAGGTGGAGGTGAGAACAGGGAGCAGAATGAAGGGCGAACAATGATGACTGGTGCAGAGGGAGTGCGGCACGCACGCAGGCATTTAGAATCAGATCGGATGCGCGCGGTGAAAGACAAAGGTGTGGCAGAAAGCTGCACATGAGAATGAGAAGCAAGAACGCGGCAAAGAGGAAAGGTGAGTCATGCATTCCAAACGCAGCAGATGTAACGCTGAAGACACATGCGACACGGGCAGCATCGCGTGGAGAGAGAGGGAAGCGGCAGAGCGAGCAGCGTGCAGGCAGTCACCTCGTGCACGAGGCGAGCGTCCGCCGCCACCATCAGTGGCTGTGCCTCCACCTCCACCCACCACCCCCCCCTCTGCTCTCCCTCTCCCTCCCCTACCCCACCCTGCGCCCTGCGTCCCGTTCCCCCTGTGCCCCCACCACACGGCCTCTCCTCCTCCACCACTCTCCACGCCATGCCTGCAGGGGCGCCTGCAGCAGCAGGGGGGGTGGCAGGGTGAGCAGGGCAGCTGGGCTCTGAGTGCTGGTGGGGTGGCATGCCAGGCGGGTGTGCTGCTGCAGGGGAGTAGTGAGGAGGGGGAGTGTGGGCACGGTGGTGAGGGGCGCGTGAGGAAGACGGTGAAAGGGCAGCGTGCGGCAGGGCGAGCAGAGTGAAGCGCTGCTCAGCCGCCCCTGCGGGTGCAAGCCCCGTGGCCCCGGGTGCTCCTGCCTGGCGCCTGCCCTGCCTCACCGCCTCCACTGCCACTCGCCCCACGCTGCCATGCACCACCGGTGGTGCTGCTGCTGCACCAGAGGAACAACCAGGGCGCGCATTGCCTGTGGACGGCAGGAGGGGGGCTATGGAGGCAGAGAGACAGCAGTGGGAGATGGTGGCGTGGAGGTGCGAGGAGGCACGGTGGGCCGAGTGGGCGCCATGGAAGGCGCTGCTGACTGCCGGGGGGCTGGCTGCCGCCCATAGGGGCACGGCTGCTGTGCACTCCACCACTCGCATGCTGACACGTGTCACTGCACCGCTGGCACCGTTGACGCACCTGCTGCTGCTGCTGCTGCTGCTGCTGCTGCCCCTCTCTGTGCTGCCCTGCCTGCCCTGCCTGCCTTGCTGGGTGACAGCAGCAGTGGTGGCAGGTGGGCGCAGCAGAGGCAGCAGGGCGGTGGTGAGGTGGCGGCGCAGCAGCAGCAGGGTGTCGACCTGGTGGCGCGAGACAGTGACGCCCACCCGCTCCACCTGCAGTGCTCACAGGGACGGGTGTGGACGCAGAGGTGGGGGGGGTGAGGAGGAGAATGAGAAAAGCAGACGAAGGGAGGAAACGAGGGGCGTGGGGAGATATGAGGGGAGGAATTGCAGGAAAGGGAGGCAGCACCCACCAGCAGGTCAAGAGGCCGATTCTCATTGCATGGCCCTCCAGTGTGCTCACTGCACTGACACTGCTGCCCGTGATCATGCTGACATCGCTGCTGCTGCCTTCCTTCTTCCTGCCCCACCTGCTCGCACGGCCCTGCCTTTCCCAAACCCCCCACCGTCACTCCCTCCACCTGCACCAGTGCAGCCAGGGTTTCTGAGCCAATCGCACGCAGCCACGTGTCCGTCTGTGTGCTCCCTGCAGCGCCGTGGCTCTCCTCTAGCGTGGCAAGGGGCGTGGGGGCAGGTGAGCAGGGCAGGCACGCCGTGCCCAGGTCCACCCACACGCGCTGCACGCACACCACAGGGGGCTCTTCCCCACCCTGCTCACCCCTCTGTGCCGCCGCCTCCCGTGCACCGCTCCCACCCCGCCCCTCATTCACACATAGTGACAGCCCTCTCATGCCTGCCCGCCCCACTGCCACCCACACACCATGCCCCTCTACGCCCTTTCCCCTCGCCCCAACACCTCCCCCTTCACCCCCACTGCAACCCCCCCCATTGTGTGCGCTGCCACTGCTGTGGCCCCTGGCGCCCCTCAAGGGGCCTGCCACAATGCTCACACTGCCCCGCTGCACAGCTGCCTGCACCCATCCCACCCCACCCATGATCTGTGCTACTGCCCCCATTCCCCCACCTGCCAGCTTTCCCTTCCCTCCTCCCTCCTCTCCCCCTCCACCTCTTCTGTCTGCTCCCCTCTCCCCACTCGCCCCTGCTCCTCGGCCTTCTCCATCCCACCTGTCTCCACCGCTCTCCACCTCGATCTCCTGGGCTCTCACCACACTGCCAGCAGCCATTAGCCCGTGTAAGTGCACAAGAGGATCCGCCCACACCACCAGCATGACGTCACCCAAGTGCAGCGTGACGTCAGCACCACTTGCAGCAGCGCTGGTGCCTGGGTGGGCGTGCTGCGCCGCAGCGGCTTGAATGGAGGGTGGCAACATGGCAGGGCGCATGGGGGGGCGTGTGCCGATGGATGAGGGGAAGGACGCCGATAGGGCTGCTGAGGCGGGGGGCGACGGCTGTAGGGAGAGGCTGGGCGGAGCGCGGCAGGGCGGAGCGGGTGGGGATGTGAGGGATGGGTGGGGGATGGGAGAGACGCAAATAGGATGAGAAGCACCGGGTACAATGTAGGTGGTGACATCGGAGTGGCGGACCAACACACAGTGGACACAGCGGAGGAGATTTAGAGGTCGTGTCATGGCAGCACACACACCCACACCTGAGTGCATGCAGTGCCTCCACCCACACCTGAGTGCATGCAGTGCCTCCACCCACACCTGAGTGCATGCAGTGCCTCCACCCACACCTGAGTGCATGCAGTGCCTCCACCCACACCTGAGTGCATGCAGTGCCTCCACCCACACCTGAGTGCATGCAGTGCCTCCACCCACACCTGAGTGCATGCAGTGCCTCCACCCACACCTGAGTGCATGCAGTGCCTCCACCCACACCTGAGTGCATGCAGTGCCTCCACCCACACCTGAGTGCATGCAGTGCCTCCACCCACACCTGAGTGCATGCAGTGCCTCCACCCACACCTGAGTGCATGCAGTGCCTCCACCGATAGAGACTCAACGGACAGCTTCACCCACGTGTGCCCTCCATGCGCCTGCCCTCGCAGCACCGCCTGCTGCAGCCACGCCTCTCGCAGTGTGGGGCTGGCGGGCTGAGAGCGGCCGCTGCGCCATCCCCCTGCCAGCACCACACTGCACGCCCGCACATGGCAGAACGCCCCCACCTGCTGCTGCACGTGCTGCCAGCACCACGGGGAGTCAGTTGAGGGCTGTGGCGCTGCTGGTGGTGATGAGGATAAGGATGGCATGTGGCTCCACATTGACATCACCTCAGCTGCTGCCTCCAGGACGCGTGCGTGCTTAGCCACGCCCCGCAGCTTGCTTGCTGGCATGGCTGCTGGCACGGCTGCTGCAGCCTGTGCTGTTGCAGTTGACCCTGCCGTGCTGCCTGGTGGTTCTGCTACTGATGCCGTGGCGGCACCAACACCACGTGCACTGCAGCTCACATCTCTGAGCGCAGCAGCAGCCATGGCCAGCAGAGAGGCGGCCTGTGGGCGGGAGACATGCAGAGAGACGGCATCCAGGCTGGCTTCCACCGTACCCTCGCTTCCCCCCCTCGCCCCATGCTTCATGCCCCCCTCCCCCATCACAGCAAACCCGCCCTCAATCCCTTCCCCACCCCCACTGCTACGCGTTCCACCAGCAGCCAATTCAGGCCGCACAAATGATCCAGCTGGCGGTGCTGCTGCTGCCAGCCGTTGTGGCGCGGCTGGTGCTTGAGGTGACGAGGCGGCAGCAGCAGCAGCAGTGGACCACGTGCAGTCGACGCGGAGAGAGGCCGGGTGGAGCAGCGTGGCGGGGCACAGCTGCCATGGGCGGATGGCAGAGGGGCGCGCAGGGAGGTCAGGCATGGGGGGGATGCCAGACCAGGCAAGGTGAGGGGAGGACAGGCGGGGAGAGTCCAGACTCTACAAGAATGCAGCTGTAGCCTTGCAGGCTTGATGGAGCTGAGGAGGGTAGACGTATGAGATGAAGGGAGTGGTTACGAGGGGGGGAGGAAAGGAGGGAGGTACCTGGGCGTTGTCCAGAGAGTGCATGTGTGCCTGCAGCGTCACTGTCACCCGCGCCCTGCTTCCCTCACACGCCCTGCCATCGTCCCCCACCCATCTCGCTGGCCTCTTCCACACCGCCACTCGCCCCGTGCTCACACTCACACCCTCGCCCTCACCCTCACCCTCGGCCCCCCTCTGCAGCTTCTGCTCCAAGCCGCAGCTTCCCCCGCTACTGCTGCCAGCCATGCGCACAGTCACCCCGTCCCCTCCCACCTCGGCGCTGCTCACCCGCGCCACCCACCCCAACCATCCACCACCGCTGCCTGGGGACGAGGGAGTGGGGGCGAGAGGCAGTGGGGCTCTGGGCTCCTCTTGTGTAAGCCACCCGTCCCCTCTCACAGCCCCTCCCACTTCCCCACCTCCACCACCACGGCATGCCTGCACGTCCTGCCACCACCCCAGCACAGTGCTGGCCATGCCCGGCCAGTAGGAGACTGCCACGAGCCCCACGTGTAGCGAGAGGCTGACGTCAGCAGTGAGCCCCAACGGCCCAGCAGCCTGCGAGGATTCAAACGCCTCTGCCACTCGCACCCCACGCCACCACACTCCCTCCACACTCCACCCCTCCTCACACTCACCCACACTCTCTCCCTCCTCATCTTCCTTCCCTCCCCGACTCGCACTCCCCCCTGCTGCCCCTTGTCTTCGCGCCCCGCAAGCACCCGTGTGTTGCTCTCCCCCTGCTGCTGTGTGTGCGGGCAGCACGGCACCCAGGGGGGCGAGGGAGTGCAGCAGCGGCGCCTGCAGGCTCCCATACGACCCCACCGCGCCCTCCCCTCGGCCCCCCACTGCTGTTGCCCCTGCCTCGCCTGCCTGCTGCCGCGTGTGCAGGCGGAGAAGAGGACGGAGAGAAGACGGTATTACTGCTGCGGGATCCGAGCCACCAGAAGGAACATGTGTATCGGCACCTGAAGAGACACCTGAAGCGCTGCTCCCTGGAACTGCCACAGCCACTGCCACGGGCCCCACCTTCACACTCGCTGCCTGCACCGCCCGGCCCCGCCCCTCCGCCTCCACCAGCACGGCCCCGAGCCTGCACTCCAGCTTCGGATAGCAGGCTGGGCCGGCAAGGCCCAGGTCAAGGCTTGGAGGTGCAGGTGCTCCGTGGCATTCGTGTGCAGTGAGGCCGGCGGCATGGCCCTCACAGCACACGGATGCGCCCCCACTGCCATCCATGCGGTCGCCCGCACTGCTCACAAGAGACAGCTCAGCGCCCTCTAGCAGCGCAGCCACGGACCAATCAGTGGCTGCCAAGTCAAAGTGCACACCTGCCTCGTACCCCGTGGCCCACTCCCAGATCTCCTCACTCTCCAAGCCACCACCCGCTGCTGCAGCAGCAGCAGCAGCAGCTCGCACTGACAACGCACTTTGCCCCGTGGCTGCCACGGCAGCGCCGCCGCTGCTCGCCTCATCGTCCTCCTCATCCTCAAACAGCTGCTGCACCCACCCAATCGCGCGCCCCATGCTGTGAAACAATCCCCGCTTCTGCTGGCCCCCCTGCTGCCCCCCCTGCTGCCCCCCCTGCTGCCCCCCCTGCTGCCCCTGCTGCTGGGACCCCTGCTGCCACCCCTGCTGCCCCTCCTGCTGCCCCTCCTGCTGCCCCCCCTGCTGCCCCCCCTGCTGCCCCCCCTGCTGCCCCCCCTGCTGCCCCCCCTGCTGCCCCTCCTGCTGCCCCTGCTGCTGGGACCCCTGCTGCCCCCCCTGCTGCCCCTCCTGCTGCCCCCCCTGCTGCCCCCCCTGCTGCCCCCCCTGCTGCCCCCCCTGCTGCCCCCCCTGCTGCCCCCCCTGCTGCCCCCCTTGCTGCCCCCCCTGCTGCCCCCCCTGCTGCCCCCCCTGCTGCCCCCCCTGCTGCCCTTCTTGCTGCAGCCCATCCATCATTCCACCCGCCCTCTCCTTTGCTGCCTTTTCTCCCTCCTCACTTGCTGATACCAGAAGCTTCTCAGCTGCTTCTCTTGTCCAACCCATCGCATCCCCGCTGTCACCTCTGCCCTTGCCATGCCCGCCTCCCTCCTCCGTTCCACTCCCCTTCTCTTCCACGCCCCCTCCAACTGCTTCCCCCGCTCCCTCCGCCCCCCCGACTCCCTGTGCCCCAGCGCCTCTCCCCCATGCGTGCCGGCATGAGTGTGCGGCGCTGAGCAGAGCAGCGAGGTGGGAGGGCGAGGCGGAGAGGGCGAGGGGCAGCAGGCGCAGGGAGAGGCAGGCGCGCTGGGGCACGGCAAGAGCAACACAGGGCGGGGTGATGGCGATGCGAGAAGTGAGGGACACAGCGGAGAGGAGCGGCACTGGCGGGAAGCGTGTGGAAAGGGGGGAGTGTCGTGGGCGTGAAGGGGGGGTTGGGTTGGGTGGCAAATAACAGAGGGAGTGGGTTTGGGGCGAGGGACGTGAGTATCGCGACGAGTGGGTGAATGGTGAGAAAGATTGATCCCAAACGGCATGCGCTGGCTCAAGGACTTGCCGTAGATACAGTGGCATACAAGGCGAGCAATGAGTGACAGATGGGGGAGCAGAACGGGGACTAGCGCCTGCCTGACAGGAAAATGGCTTGCATGCTATCATGAGGGCAATTTGCCATAGCCTTGCTCCACGGACCTTGGCTGGCCTGACACGTGGCGTTGTGTGATTGGCTAGATGTACTTGCGACATCCACCGACAGGCCAGTAACTTCCAGAACCTTCCTCACGCCTTCCTCTGGTGGCTGGGAAGGATGTGAGGAGAGTTGAATGCGCGTGCGTTGCAGGCAAGGCGACGAGGGCACAGGGGCGCTTGGAGGGGGAGGGGTGCAGCACGATGCTGAGCAGATCAGATGCGCGGGAGGCATGGGGATGCATTGTGCTATACGTGATGTGCAGTGCTATGGGCTATGGGTGGCATGTCACGCATGCTGCCATGCTGTCACACCTGTGCGAGTGAAAGATGGGCATGAATGGATAGGAGAAGCAGCACAGCAGGAGGGTGGGAGCAGCGCGCACCACAAAGGCAGGGGTCCAGTCAGGTGCAGTGGAGTGGAGGAGGAGCTTATCGCAGCGCAGAGACAGCACAGCAGACGGCGTGGAGTACTGCAGGAGCACGTCCGTTACAGTCACACTGGCGTTCAGCACGGTGTGCTGCAGGAACGCCCGCAGCCCCCCTAGCGCCAGCAGCTCCGCCAGCTCCTCCCTCGCATGCCCCGCCCCACTGCTGCTGCTTCCCTGCGACGACTCTGAGTCCGTGTCGCTCCCACCACCACCGCCCTCCTCCTCCTTCCCTGCTCCATCGCCCCCCCTCTCGCCCCCACCACCGCCCCGCTCACCCTCTTTTGGCCCCATCCCCTGCTGCCCCCCAGCGCCCCCCCCACTTTCCCTTGCACCCTCCTCGCCCCCCTTGCCACCGCAATTCCCTCCACTCCACACCCTCTCCTTCCCCTCCGTCCCCTGCCCTCCAACCCCCCCTCCCCCCGTTGCCTCCACGTGCACGCGCACGCCATGCAGCGCCACGGCCACGGGGTGCGAGCCCAGCGCGGCCCACGGGATGCTCACCCGCAGCTCGCCCACCCACGCGCGCCGCACCGCCACGCGCACGTGAGGGGGGACTGGCAGAGGGTGGGCGCGGGGGGGTGGGGGGCATTGAGGGGGTAGGGGAAGGTTCTGTGAGCATGAGGGCGGTGTGGGGGGAATCAGTGCAGGTCATGCACCCGCTTTCGCCGCACAAATGTGTGCAAAGCAGGGAGTGAGGAAGAGCAAGATGTAAGAGGAGTGAGGAGGGGCGATGGGGAGTTGTGGTGCGGAACGCTGGCAGAGCCATGCAAAGGGGGCCGATGTGATGTGAGGGCTTCAAGCGTGGCCATGCAAAGGGGGCCGATGTGAGGGCCTCAAGCGCGGCCATGCGAAGACGACACCGGCTCCTCGCGCCTCCTCTTTGCCTTGGGCCTACTGAACATGTCGCCACTCCGTGCGACGCACCTGGCAGGTTGAGCTCGAAGTTTCTGAGAGTGAGGGAGCCGCCCGAAAGCGACACGCTGAGGTCGGACGCCGCCGCGCCGTCGGCATCGCGGATGTACGCGCGCAGCACGCGCAGAAGCACCTGCGGGCGGCAGTGGGGCGGCAGTCAGAGGGGCGGGAGGCCGAGAAGACGGACGCAGAAGGCAGGGAACAAGGTGGCGGTGGTGAACGAGGGAAGGAGACGGAAGAGAGAGCGCGGCGAGGCGGGGGAGCAGGGTGGGCGGGAGAAGGGGACGGCAGGAGCGGATTCGGCGGAGATGGCGGGTGGGCGACGGGCGGGAGGAGGACGAGCGAGCGGAGTCATGCGATAAGAGCGGAGAGCGCGCACCTGCGACATGAACGACGACGCCATGGCTCCCTGAGCGATCCGTTACAGCATCACACGAGTGGCCGTGCGAGCGGGATTGTGTCGGTCATGTCTCTGGACAGTGGCGGGTTTCCCATTGGATTTCGTGTCTGCTAGTTTTTGTTGATCAACGGAAGGTCTGGTGTGTGTGAAACATAATTTCGTGTCTGCTAGTTTTCCCCGGTACAGGATGATCCGGGAATATTTCATTCAATGTAATTCTGTTCCAAAGAGAATAAGTTACAGTAGCAATTTCCAAGCTGAAACGAAAGTGGCGTACTAAAAAAACACTTGGTGAGGTTTGTCATAGAAAGTCTCTCACATATCAAAAATATATATATATATATATCCACAAGAATGATCCTCCTCAACATGGCATACCGTATGGCCCCGGATACAAGCGCAGGCCTAATAAAATTGAATGCGTTTCTATTTGGAGCTGTTGGAAACAATTAATTCTAAAGCGCCTCTGTCGTGTCGAAACACCAAGTCAGAAGCGAAGCGAAGTATATCAAAGCACCGGCGAGTCAACCCTCGGAGGTTGAGCAGTTGCTAGAGGTTACGCGAAAGTCAAAGGTCAGCGCCTTTTGACCTGACAAATACAGTGTCAAACTTATATGCTATAGTCTGTGTAGGCTGTAGTGGGGTAGACAATATGGGGTACAACACTTTTAGGTTTTCTCACTTATACCCACCTGTTTGCCAGTACATTCATTCCTCGTTCTTTCACATGGTATAGAGCAGGTTCCCTAGTGGGAACGTTTCTGTTGGAAACAATCGGTCCTAAGCGCTTCTGTCGTGTCGAAACACTAAGGCACAAGCGAAGCAAAGCATATCGAGGCACCAGCGAGTCAACCCTCGGAGGTTGAAGTAACCGCTGGAGGTTACGCGAAAGTCAAAGGTCAGCGACCTTTGACCTTACAAGTACAGCGCGACAGCAAGGACACACAACTGACTCGCTACAGAGCAGTTGCCCGAGTCGTCACTGTATCGAACCGCAACAGCAACAAGTAAAACAGTTATAACCGTATCCTTTCATATTCCTTGTACTCTTATATAATCTTGTATCTCTTTGTTTTAATCAACTTACTAAGCCCAACAGTTTCCTAGGGCCCACCGAAAATCGACTTTTTTTTTCCTGCCCGGAGCGCGCTTTGCCCCTGCCCGAGTCGCGCCCCGTGTGCCTGCCCTCCCGTCGCGTCCCTTGCCCTTAGCGGCCCGTCGCGCTCCCTTACGGCCCCGTAGCGGCCCCTCTCTCGGCCCCTCACGGCCCCTTTCACGGCCCGTCGCGGCCCCCCTTCAGGCCCCTCGCGGCCCCTTCGTGGCCCCTCGCGGCCCCTTCGCGGCCCCTTCGCGGCCCCGTCGCCGCCCTTCGCGGCCCCGTCGCCGCCCTTCGCGGCCCCGTCGCCGCCCTTCGCGGCCCCGTCGCCGCCCTTCGAGGCCCCTCACGGCCCCTTCTCGGCCCCGTCGCCGCCCTTCGCGACCCCGTCGCCGCCCGTCTAGGCCCCGTCACCGCCCTTCGCGACCCTGTCGCCGCCCTTCTCGGCCCCGTAGCCGCCCTTCGCGGCCCTTCTCGGCCCCGTCGCCACCCTTCACGGCCCCTTCGCGGCCCCGTCGCCGTCCTTCGCGGCCCCCCCCTTCACGGCCCTTCGTGGCCCCTTCACCGCCCTTGGCGGCCCCTTCTCGGCTCCCTCACGGACCTGCCGCCCCGCCGTCGCCGCCCCTGCAGCAGCAGCCACCGTCGCTCCAGCAGCGGGAGCCGCTACCGCCGGTGCCGCCGACAGCAGGCAGCCGCCGCCGCCACAGCCGGGGCCGCATCCGCCGCAGCAGCCTACAACAGCAGCAGCCGCGGACGGCAGCAGCCACAGCCGCCACAGCCGGGGCCGCAGCCGCGGCAGCCGCCGACTGCATCTGCCGCCGCCGTCGACAGCAGGGGCCGCCGCCGCTGTCCCGGCCCTGCCCTGCAGAGCGGAGCAGCGCTCCTCTGACGCCCTGTAGCGGCCCCGTCCCTGCCGACGCGCCTCGGCCCTGCCCCACCACTTGCGGCACTCTACCCACCTGCCCTGGTAAGAGCACCACCGAGCCGCGCCCCTCTTGTTGCTACTGCTGCTGCTGCCCCTAGCCTGCTGCCACTACTGTCATGGCTACCCCTAACGTTCTCGCCTTTGATGCTGAGGGTCGGGCTGTTGACTTTGAGGTCTGGGTTGATGATCTACAGCTTTTCCTACAGTGCGATAGGAAAGACGGTCTCTCACTGTTCGATCTCACGTCTGGCGCCTCTGCTGCCCCTGCTGCCGATGCTGACAGCACTGTCTGCTCACAGTGGGCCACACGCGATGCTGCTGCCCGTCTTGCTGTGCGTAGTCACCTGCCGTCCACTGAGCGCGCGCACTTTAGTCAGTACAAGAGTGCTAAGACCTTGTACGACAATGTAGTTGCACGCTACTCTTCCCCTGCCACTGCTGCCCTTAGCCGCCTCATGCTGCCGTACCTGTTCCCTAACCTCGCCGCCTTTCCCACTGTCGCTGACCTCATTACGCACCTTCGCACTAGTGACACCCGCTATTGCGCTGCGCTTCCTCCTGAGTTCTGCGCCAAGAACCCCCCCCCCCCATGTACATCACCCTCTACTACATAGTCACCCGGCTCCCTAACTCCCTTCGCTCGGTCAGGGACCACTTCCTCTCTGTTTGCCCCACCACACTCACCGTTGACCTCCTCGAGGAGCGCCTCCTGGCAGCTGAGAAGAGTATAGTCGCTGTAGGAGCCTCTCGTGGTGACCCTCGTGCCCCCTTCTTTAAGGGGTGCTCCCCCTCCCCACTTTTGCCCTCTGTTGCCTCTGCTGCTGCCGTCGACTTCGTTAGCACCGAGTCGGTCGGCGCTGCGTCTGCCCCTAGCGGGAGACGCCGCACTGGCAAGGGCAAGGGGGGCAAGGGAGCTGGAGGGGCTGGTGGGGGTGGTGGAGGTGGCGGTGGAGGCGGCGGAGGGAGTGGGGGTTGCGGTGGGAGTGGTGGCGGGGGTGGGGGCTTCGGTGGCGGCGGTGGACGCGGAGGCGGCGGCGGCGGTGGCGGTGGGAGCGGAGGAGGAGGTGGTGGCGGCGGTGGCGGAGGTAGCGGCGGCGGAGGTGGAGCTGGTCGGGGTGGCTCTGCGCAGCGGAGCGGCTTCGTTGGTGGTCAGCGCCAGCAGCAGCAGCGCACTCGTGACACCCCGCACCCCCAGCAGCTTCGTAAGTGGTACGCTGCGCGTCAGCGGAGTGGGGGTGCTGGTCCTTGTGCCTACGTCCTGCGTACCGGCGACCGCACTGGTGAGCAGTGCGGTGGCCCGCACACCACCCAGCGCTGCTTCGGCCGCCTGACGGACGCTTGGCGTCTCCAGTTCCCTGACGCCACTGAGATCCCCCGCTGGGGCGAGCTGCTTAGGTCGGGGGTTGCTATCTTTGATCTGGATTATGATGCCATTCTTGCTGCCATGTATGTTGTGTCTACTAGTGATGAGGGTGACTGTTACCTGTGTGTCCCGCCTGACCCGGGCATTGACGCTGCTGCGCTAGGTGCTGGTGAGGCTGCTGCTCTAGGTGCTAGTGCGTCTGCTGTCCCAGGTACTGGTGAGTCTGCTCTCTCAGGTACCACGTCGGCTCAGGCCTTACACACCTTCACCCTTGACTCGGGTGCTTCCCGCTCCTTCTTTCAAGACCGCACCACGCTTACGCCGCTTAGTCGGCCAGTTGCGGTCTCCCTGGCGGACCCCTCTGGGGGTCCTGTCCTTGCCCACTTCTCCACTGTCTTACCATGTCCGGCGGCCCCCTCTGGCACCCTGTCAGGTCTCTACCTCCCCTCGTTCTCTACGAACTTGGTGAGTGGTGCTGATCTACAGGATGGGGGGGTTGACCAGTTCACTCCTACGAGTCAGCGGGTGACCCACTGTACGTGTGCTCGGACGGGCCGACACTTGGCCATGTTTACCCGTCAGCCGGGGTCGAGCCTGTACACACTGACTACTGAGTCTCCTCCGGTTGCTGAGCCTGGTCAGGTAGCTGCGTCGGGTCAGGTGTTTGCTGCGGCGTCCAGGTCTGGTCCTGAGTCTGCTCCCTGCTCGTGTTGTCTCCTGTCCCACCGGACTCTCCTCTAGCACCACCGCCTTGGTCACCCCTCCCTACCTCGTCTCCGAGGTATGGCCTCCCGTTACCTTGTCTCTGGTCTCCCCCGGTCCCTCCCTCCCCTCCCTCCGGGGCCTGCCCCTACCTGCGTTCCCTGTGTCGAGGGGCGGCAGCGCGCCGCCCCTCACTCCTCCGAGTTTCCTCCGACAGAGGCTCCGCTGCAGACTCTTCACATGGACGTGTGGGGCCCCGCCCGCGTCCATGGCCAGGGTCACGAGCGTTACTTCCTGTTGGTGGTTGACGACTACTCGCGTTACACCGCGGTATTCCCCTTGCACAGCAAGGGTGACGTCACTGAGGTGTTGATCGATTGGATCCGCGCGGCTCGTCTCCAGCTCAGAGAGAGTTTCGGCTCGGACTTTCCTGTTCTGCGTCTGCACTCTGACAGAGGCGGGGAGTTTTCCTCTGCCCTTCTGGGAGCCTTCTGTCGTGCACAGGGCATCCGCCAGACGTTCACGCTTCCGGCCTCTCCACAGCAAAATGGGATTGCTGAGCGCCGCATTGGCATGGTCATGGACGTCGCTCGTACGTCCATGATCCATGCGGCTGCTCCCCATTTTCTGTGGCCGTTTGCGGTTCGGTACGCAGCGCATCAGATCAACCTTCAGCCCCGGGTCTCCTTGTCGGAGACCTCCCCCACCTTGCGGTGGACGGCGAAGGTTGGCGATGCGTCTGCGTTTCGTGTCTGGGGATCTCGGGCGTTTGTCCGCGACTTGTCTGCGGACAAGCTGTCCCCCCGTGCTGTTCCCTGCGTCTTCCTTGGCTTCCCCCCTGACGCGCCTGGTTGGCAGTTTTACCACCCCACCTCGCGCCGTGTTCTGTCCTCCTAGGACGTCACCTTTGACGAGTC